TGCTCTTGCCCAAAGCAACCCACAAACTCCACGCACAGAAAATACAAATTAAACGCTGACATCAGAGAAAGATTCTGTTTTGTTGTAAGAACAAAAAGCAAACAAACATTTTTTTGTAAGGAACAAAATGTTGACCTCTGCAAATTTGGGAAGACTTCAAGAAACAACATAACTGTGCAGAAAAATGTGCAGGGCAGCAGAATAAAGCAGTATCTGGCCTCTAAAGGCCTACGCAGCACCGCTCCCGTCCAGACTCCTCACACCTCCCTTACCACTTCCACATGCCTCACAGGACAACAAGCCCAGTACAAGAATAAGTTTCAGACCGATACATGTACTACAATTTTTCCCAAGTCTCTACCATTCCTGAGTCACTGTAAATACACATATAGACAGATGTCCCCCTCCCATTTGTCAGCATCCCAAAATACAAAGGAAAAATAATTGCTGAGCTGGATTGGCTGAGCATATTTCAGCCAACTTAAAAAAAAAAACATCAAAATAAAAAGTTCAGGGAGGGAGTTCAACAGAATGAGTCAAAATTCATCACTGACACCAAATACATTCATAAAATTCAGTTTCTAAGCTTTCCACGCGGTCTCTAGGTCACACATTTTAACCGCATAAACTGCTCCCTGGAACCTTCAAATAATCAACATTGTGGTTTTTTAATACTTGCTAACTGCATTGCCCATGAGCCACATTTTACTCTGTAAAATTAAAGAAAAATTCTCACAGGCTTTTATTTGTTACTGATATTTACAGAAAAGAACTTTTGCAAAAAAATCGATGCAAATTTTATCAATGAAAAGTTTGAGTTGCAAAAAGAATATAATAAACAATTACAGCTTTTTAATGAGATTTTTCTTGGTCAGACATACCCCAGACATTTCCAGACATGACTAAGCTCCAAGATTCCCATTTCCAATTAACATATGCATGTTACCCAGTGAGCCCTTCCCCCCAAAGCCACTCAGCATGAGATTACGGCAGAATCTGATGGTCTTTAGCAGAATACTTGGCCAAACTCCAACTCCACCAGCCTTCATGCTTATTTTTATAGGCACAGCCTTCAGCTTTGCGCTCTGGTATGCAACCTAACACCCAAGTCCATTAAACTTTCCATCAAATACACATAAAATTGAACAACAGTTAATCAAGCTGTAGTCTGTTCTCTAACTGTTAGGAGTACTCTTATTGCCCTGTTTGCACCATGGCATGAAACTTAGCTAATATTCTTGAAGGGCTTACAGTGACCATGCCCAGGATGGTACAAGAGGACCATCAGGGGATCCAGACCTGAATTGTCTTGCAAGGGGAGCTCTTATGCACAGGACCTCAAATTTCAAAGGGGTAGATGGAGATGGCACTAGGATCTCCATTCAAACATTCAGCGTCAAACATAACTACTGTGAAAAGACTAGAAAAGACAAAAATTGTATTCTCTTCCAGTGGAATGAGCCCATTTATCTTGTCATCTTTGGCTACGGGGAGAGATTTGGCACTGTTCACTGATGGCTCGTCTCTCACATTTACCTATCAAGACTGGCTGGCTAACACAATTATGCAACGTCTGGCCAACTTTACAGCATTTTCAAAGCTATCCATGTTACAGGTCTCATTCCTCATGACAAACCCTTTTGAAGGTTATAACTGCAACTCCACTTTAAAACTAACATATGTAGCACAGACACAGCCGTCAGTCTACAGAAAACTGCTTAGAAACTGATGTTGAGTAAGCCCCGGTTTACTGCCGTGGAAACATTTCAATCCATTCATGTAGCTTCAGTTTGACTTAGTTTTTTAAACTTGGATTCAACTTTTGGTAATGCCTACAATGAAACACTGACATGAGGGGTGAACTTAACCCCACAACTGAGCCATGGAAGGACAAATCCATTCCTATTGCCCTCTGAAAGGATCCTGAGAGGTCAACTTGTGTAGCTTGTTAGAGCTGAAGAAATCTGCAGTCTTTGTTAAGCACCAACAGTAGCTCTTTAATAGCCCAAATTGGTTTCCCCAGGATAGCATGCAAACTACCGATTCTACATGGTAAAACAAACATTACTTCCAGATGTAACAAAGGCTTCATTGTGCTCATCTGAGTCTAAAACCAGAAATGCAAAGTGTAGTTTTCATGAGTGAGGTTTGGGGAGAAGAGAGTGGGTGGCAATAAGGAGAAGGGAGAAGAGTTTGCGCTTGAAAATTAACATGTGATTGTTACTGTGAGCACCGTTCCAACTCTTACTGTTTTAAAAGTTTTCTAAAATATACAACTGTAGCATGAAACTTGTAGGGCAGCAGAACTCAACTGATACTGAAAGGAGATATTATTCCTCAAGTGATTTGGTAAATAAAACCATGCAGCATCACAAACTAAGTAACTTGTATACTTGGTAGCAACATGCGGCACAGACATAAACATCTATTCTTTCCACCACTGATGTAGTGAATGTTTTAATACTTGCAAAGATCTGCAATATTTTGCCTTCATAGTGTGGATTCACAAACAATACTTCTAAGACGTTAAAAAAAATAAAAAAAATCACATGATCAAACAAACCTGGAGATAAAAAGGGTAAGTGATAGTGCAACAAACTACAGGGGAATGATTCGGGGGGGGGGGGGGGGGGTCGGGGGGCACCCCCAACAACAAAC